TATAAGGCCTATATATTTTTTTGGTCTTGTATCATGCATAGGAACGTTGACGCCTGCAAGGCTCTGGTTTTATATTTTTTTTGCAACATTTTAATGGCTATTAGTGCCACCGGTGACACCTCCCATACAAGGGGTGTTCACCGCATTGGGTCAAAGGTCACATAGGGGTCATTAAGGTAAAGAATGAGAAAAAATGAATAAAAGACTTTTTCTGCCACAAATTACATAGCGTGAAAATTACCTAATATTGCTATTTATAAACAATTGGACCAATTGCATTAGACGGACTCCTACCAAACATAGGGTGTTCACAGCTTGAGGTTAAAGGTCATAGGGGTCATCTTGGGTTCATGTTCTATTGAACATAGTATCTCTATTTCACCTTATATCTAGTCAGTGCAGTCGTTTACTCAGATCTACCATCAGCACAGTTGTTCATCGCACTCCATCTAGTAGATTAAAATCTTATGCTGACAGCATTTTCTGTTGCTGTACCATTACTATGGAATTCCCTGCCTCTTCAAGTTCGCAATTCTCCTTCTCGCAATATTTTCAAAAACCTTCTTAAAACACATCTTTTTTCAATTTTTTAATTCTGTTACTCACAGCGCACAGCGTTACTCACAGAAATTTATATACATTGCATTATTAAATTGAAAATGTAGACCTTGATAATACAGTGACATTTTGAACATTTTACAAAAATTCATCATTTAGGCTTCTATGTTAAAAATTATTTTATTCTAAAAATCAAAATGGAAATATTTATGCAGAACATCAATTTTTTGTCAACTGATTATATAGTTGTCATACTCCAACAGTCATGTTGTCATCACAAAAGAACAACACTAGAAGAAAGTACACACATACAAAGCAAAAGGGACTATGGAAATAGACCGGGTACGTTTAAATCTACCTAATCTGTTTAGTGACCTGATTAAAATGGTTCCCGCAACACCTTGGATTACTAGAGGGTGTAAAATGTCATTATGCGCCTTCTGGCGTCATGTCCTTGTGCATGACACTGACAGTAATCTAGTCGAGAAAGAATAGATACAATTTTAAATGTTTTTAAGTAAGCACTTGGTTTTACTTTTGGTGTTTACAAGAAAGGAGTTATTTCCATGCGAGTTTCTTTTAGCCATTCAGTTTGAAAAAAGTTAATTATTCTAACTTTTTAAAGAATGTTTATCTGAGAGCTCAATCACACATATTATATTGGCTCATGGCTGCCTTAACAATGGCACTGTGGGACCTGAGCCAACATTGAAGTCTTTGGGATAGTTTAAAATTTATTGATTGTTCACACTTAAAAATAGGTAACCCTGAGGCAGTCCTAAGCCAATGTAATTATTGGGCTCTAAAATAAGGCTTATTGTTTATGACTAACTTTCAAAAATTGTCCAATTTTGCCTCAAGCCAACACATTGTGTTAAATATATGGATCATACACTATGCAAGTATTTATGGTTACTCTAATGTAGTGGGAGTACACTTGATTCATGTAGAAAAATGTGTGCGCTGATTGTTCTCATAGGACTAGAGTACCCCTATGATTTGTTAAACATCTTTTATAAACAAGTTACTGCCATTCAGAAGAACACTGTATCAATATTATGTATTTATGTTTAAATAGAAACACAATTTTTTTAAAAGTATGATTTAATATCTTCTGATTTTTAATACAGTAATCATTTTTTTGCATATAATTATTTAAGGTGGTCGGGACAAAATCTACTAACTGTATTGAAGATGATTTCTTTAATCATTTTTTATATTAGAAATATATTTGTTCAGAACTGATAATTTGGTAAAGTGTGCCCTACTAAATACATTCAAAATATGACACCATTTTTTGATGTGAATTTCTGCTGTCTTTAGTTGACTATTATTATCTGAAAACATGTTCTAGTTGTTGGTATAACACAAGAAATGTTATTGATGATTATCAGAAAAATGAGTTCTAGCAGTGTGACGATGCCTACTTATTTCTGTATGGTAATTCAATTGTCGTTGTATTTTAAGTCCATGATCCAGACGACATAGCATGCCTTGCATAATTAATATATAATAATATTATGCACTAACAATATGCATTTTGTTTTCACAGCAAATTCAACAACAGAAAATTTTAGAACAACAAGCAAGATTAGATCAACAGAGGAATCAGATGATAGTTAAGAAAGATAAACCAAGTAAGTGATAGGAATTCTAGTTAACTGTTGTGAAAGTTACATAAAGGACAATGGCGGATTCAGCTGGGGAGGGGGGCTACATTTTTAAAAATTATTAAAATGGTGGAGGGGATGGGAAGGGGTCAGGTAGCAAATCCCCTGGAACTGAAGCATTTTTAATGGAAGAGAGTGGTTTGGGTTATCAGGTGGAGGGAGGGTTCACTTAAAAACATAGAAGCGCTCCTGTGTCAAAGTAAACCACACAAATATACATCAATTAACACAACATACAAAACATGATTAGAGCATCTCTTGGAACTGAAGAATTCTAATATTTGTAGTGAATTAATGATCTTTTTGAGAGTTTTTGATTCAAGGGAAAAGAGTGGTTCAGTTTATAAGAGGGGGAGGGGAGATTACTTAATTAGGCATAACCATAGAAGCCCCCACGTTATAGGCTTGTTAAATTTTTTCAAAGTAAATCACATGAACATACATCAATTAAACATACAAATCATGATTTGAGTAAATAACGTCAAGGTATATTTCTATTTATGATTTTCGGCATTGTATACATTAGTTCTAAGAATGGTAATTCAGAATGTGTTCCAGTATGTAAATCGTGGTGTATAGAATCTAAATAAAGGGTATGAGCCTAGTCTCCTATTATATGTTTAACAGTTTCCGTTAAGTGCCTTGTTGTGGTACAGTGACTTAAAGTCGAAAAGCTCAACCTTTGATATTTTTACATGCTTTTTGCAAATTTTATGTCAACATGTTCTTTCAATTAATTTCTACTCAAAGAAAGTGTTTTTTTTTTTCTAATTCATCAATATGTTTTGTGAAAATATTGTACTTGAATGTAATGACGTGATTCCTTGTCATCATCTCTGTTCTTGACCTTTATCCTTGACATTCTCCCAGACATTTATATGATATATGATATTGAATGACATCCCATCAAATAAGATATATAAGCAGTGGGTAAAAATGCTTCAAATATGTTCTTTTCAATGTGTTTATGCAGCGTTTTCAAATGCAATACAATAATCACTATAACAAAGTATTTTTTCATGCATCTATTTTGTAATTTGTATAGTTTATATTTTAAATTGTAGTTTTTTTCTATAATTTAAATTTTACTCAAAATGTGATAAATTCCTGTGTATTAATTTAAGAGAAATACATTATCATTTACTTAAGATGTGTACTGCCTAATGGAATCTTGAAAATTCGCAGAAATTCAATTGTTACACTAAAATGCTCAAAGGATCAATTAACTTTCAATTAGAGACGTGTCGGAACAACTTAGATCTTGCCGATTTCTTAAAAAAAACATTTTTGGAATATAAGAATATAGAAATGAATAGAATTAAAAAACAATACAAAACTTTATTTTATAATTCTACTATTGAATTTATTGAGTTTTAATAAGATTGTTAGTTTTTCATCTTTATTTCTTCTACAATTATTGTCAAACTTTTTCTATAAACTGGTTGTGAATTTGAAAAAATAAAGATGATTCTATTCACTAAGTTAATTGTGTGTAATAATATTCTTGCATGATTTTTTTTCCTCCTTTCTATAGACACAAATCCATCTATTGCAGTGAAACGAAAATTACAGGACTTTGTGTTGAATAGACAGCAGCGAGAATTAGCCAACTTTAATCATTCCCCTCCTTACACATGGTATGCTCAACTTATAAATAATGTATACTAATAAATAAAGTAACCACTATCAACATAAAAAAAAATAAATTAGCATGCATACAAATTATTAACAAGTATGCAAAAGAAGCCAGTAAGTCCCTGCCTGTGACATGCCTCTGTTCTATGTTTGTACATGTATACTTATAAGATTACGGTAATGTACATAAATTTAGCATTACAAAAGTAATGTACGTAAACTTGCTATTCTTGGATCTTGTGAGGACGTCAACAAACATACTGATTTTAACTATACAACTGCAATAAAAACAAATAGCCAGTGAGTATTTACTACTGCCCATGCAATTTTTTCTTTCATTCTTAAGTACTTTTCTTAATATAGATTGTTACTTGCACAAGAGTCACAGATAAATTTACGTCTGATTTTGAAAGAGAAATTATGCATTTTTATTTTTGTTTTTCTGACCCTGAGGCAAAAATCAGTGGAATCAACAGGAAAAAATTATGCACGCAGTCTAGGTTTAGGTATTCATTCCTAAAATAATCGATAAAAATCTTGAATATCACTTTAGTAATAGAATACGGTAATTTATTTACTTGTAATGTGTAAATTACGTATAAATAGCCAGCTAATGATGCACAACTTGAACTGATTGATTTGTGTGCGCAATCAAGTTTGAGGCTGCTGTATTCGATAATAGCACATAAATAGTTTCTTGAAGTGCTGTTATTATTTTTATCATTTTTTGTAATTAGTATTTTGTTATATTCTTGAGATGATAATAACAGACAAACTCAAAGTAAGTGGCGTAAGCCACATTGTGGATTTGAATATACAGTAATAATAATAATTATTATTTATATATAGTGCATGTTCAGATTTACATTTGTTCAATGTGATTTACATAAAAATATGATAAAGTAGAATATTAAAATAGGCAAAATTATACAATGAAATTAAACAAGTATTATATAGAAAGTCTGCAAATATATAATTATTATTAATTACATAAGTAAAATAATTGAAAATTTGAAAATTCACTGTCAATGAAATTAATATTAATTAGCTTACAAAATTATTATTTACAATTATTCCAACATTATTACAATTAAACAGATAAATTAAAAATTTAAATTCAATATCTGCAGTAAAATAGTGTAGATACCATGTTTGAGATGTTATTTCCTAATTCACTGAATTTGACTTTATAAAATTATTGAAAACTGATATTACTAAAAATTTTTCTACCACTTCTTATATCAGGAACCCACAGAACGTGAGCCAGCACTCTCCACCCCACACAGCACATTATCAAACACAGGTTTTCGGCCAGTACGACAACTTCCCACTACGCAAAACAGCTTCCGATTCCAATTTAAAAGTACGGTCGAAACTTAAAGAGAAAGTTGCGGAGAGACGCAGTCACGGAAGTCCTCTTATACGTCGCAAAGAACATCAAAACAGAAAGGGGAAACCACTATCAGGTAAATTCACTGATGATGGCAATTTTGATCAAAATTGACTCATTTGATCTTTACTTTTTTATTTATTGGGTATAAAAACACTCAGGAAATGACATGAGTTGAACATATCCACCTATACCTTCCCTTCTTTCTCACATGCTCCTTGTTAAAAAAAAAACTTACGCCTCTAAATTACACCTATAAATTTAAAATAAGAAAATTATGAAACTGAGATGATTAAGAGGTGGACATAGAGCTGGTATAGACTTCGACAGCATCCTTGTGGAGCCCAGCTACTTTTTATTAGCTCATGAATCTTATAAATATCCATCATGATGAACAAAATTTGAGCTAACATTTTTTTTCATTGCGAACCAACTTGTCTAACTTGGGCTAGCAATGATTAGCATAATATTGTGACATTGAAAACACATCGAAAACATGTTTTCGGAGGAAGTGCAGTGGGTGTATGACATCAGAGGAAAGAAAAAGTACATATATAACGAAAGCAAAAAAACAATAATTTGACTCATTTTAATTGCGTCTGCGAAGCGAGTTGGAAAGAGGGTCAAATGAAACATCTGGCGAAAAACTTCTTTCTTGGCAATATTAATGCCATTTACCTGCAGCACAAATTCCCTGTGATATTCATAAATCATTGAAATACAAATTCACTCTGAACATGGCTAGGAAAATAAAATGGAAGAATTAATGAAGAATAAATTGTACAAATCATTTCTGCACGCTTGTTTTTATATGTATTACAATGATATGTTTTTCATATTAATATTTGTGCACAATGAAAGCTAGTGTAAATCAACATAAATTATGATTGTTTTTGTAATTGATAAATCTAATATTTTTAAAAGAATAGTTCTAATTATATTTGCATTCACGTAATGCATACATATAATGCATATATAAAAACAGAATATATAATTAGATATATAAATAATTAAATTTAATTACGGTAAACACTAGGCCTCAGCACTGTGAGTTCCTCTATAATATCATGCATGTGGTTTCTTTTGTGTTTGCTGTTATATTGAGAAGGGTGAAGGCCTACTCTTCAAAACTAAATTCCCAGCAATTCCCGGCAATTAGAGTGATTGTTCATTCCTTTTATGGTTAACTTGAGATAACCAGTGTTTTCTAGCTCAGAAATTCGGCTACGTTCGCTCAAAGTATGACAATTAAATTAAGTGCCGCACGCGGTTTGATTTACGTGTCACATGACTGAAGATGAAAGGTAGCTCCACCAAGTCTCAAAACTCAAAGCATTATTAAACTAAAAGATTTCTGCTTCTCAGCAGATTATGTATTTAAATTATATTTTAGTGAAATATTTCTGATCAGAAAATCATGTATCGCAATCTGGGTTGTTGATTTCTCAACACTATGTGACAGGGCTAAAAAAAGTTTATTACCTAATGAAAATAATTCATTAATTAAATTAAATAGTTGTTAATTGTACATTATTTTAAGATAGCAAGTGTTGCTATACCTTTGCTAGTATTTTACTTGGAATTACAATTTCTTTATTGTGTATTAATGTATTTTTTTTGTAGTTGAAAACTCAATATCCAGTAGCAGTGCCCCAGGTTCTGGACCAAGCTCACCCCAAAGCATTGCTAGCCTTACTGAGAACGGCAATGGAGGATTTATAGTTCATAATGAAGTAAGTGTTCTGAAGACATTTCATATAATGTTGTCTCATGTTTTATCCAAGTTCCAAGAGGTTAAATATTTACCTACTTCTAAAAATCTTCCTTCTTTTATTTAAAGGTATATGGTACTGTCTATTATCAAATCTTAGAAACCATAATAAATACAATTAAGATATATAAATAGCTCATTAAAATGATTTAGTAAATTATAAATTCCTACTTAGACATAGATTACAACATTTTTCACATGTAAAAGCATGCAAAAAATATAGTAGTATAGTATTTTGAAATATGTTTGTTAATTTTAAAAGAAATAATTATATTCTGGTTCATAATTTTATTTGAAAATTAATAATCAAATGCTTAAATATACAAAATTTCAATTAGCTCAACAGACATACAGTATATCTTTGAAATTATTTCTATTTAATTTTTAAAATTATTGATGTGAATATTTAAACTCAACAGGAAGTCTCAGCTTACCCTCGACTGGTGAAGCCATTTTTAAGTTATTGTATTATATCTGTCTCTTATACACATCTAGATGTGTATAAGAGACAGATATTATATCTAGGGTGAGGTATCCAGTGTAGTGTATCCGGTTTGGGATATCTAGGTTAGGTATCCTGGGTTGTGTATCCCGGGTAGGAAATATAGTGTAGTGTATCTAGGATGGGACATCAAATGTGTGGTATCCAGTGTAGTGTATCTGGTGTGAAATATCTAGGATAGGTATCCTGGGTAGGGTATATAGTGTATTGTATCTTAGGTGGGATATCTTGGGTGGTGTATACAAGGGGGGGATATTCAGAGTAGGGTATCAGTGGGATATTCCAGGTAGGGTATTGGAGTGGGATGGCCAGTGTGGAAGATCCCGTGTCGTATATCCCTGGTAGAATATCCAAGGTGGAATATTCAGGATAAGATACAGATTCATCTTTATCTTTATTCATCATGTTTCAAATATATGAAATTATTTCCTGGGAAATATACAACAGAAATACTCAAAAATACAATTTATACAACATACATCAATTGCACACAAACTTATCTAACATCTTGTTATATAATCCAATTTGGACTAGGTAGAAATAAGTTTCGTGTCTGTGTCTTATTCTTATATTATTAATAATTGTGCCTGATCTACTGTAATTTATACTGCTGTTTAGAGAATGTTTTATTATTAATTATTCCTCTGAGTTTATAATGGAATAGAAGCCTTACATAACTGTGAGATATCCTTTTCATTTTATTTTCATTTCATTTCTTTAGGCACGAGCGCCAAGGATATGCCAAATAAGTAAACTTAATCACTTGTCCTACGTGGCATATCCATTTAACAACAGGGGACTTTTACATCAATGCCAATTGTCTTGCTAGCAACTTATGTAATCCTTGTGAAATTACCCAGATTTTTCTTGGGAACCAAGTTTATTTAGATATCAATGATGTATAAAGGTATCCAGGTGGGATATGCATGTAGGATATTCAGCATTTATTCCCAGGACAGAGTGGGAAATAGGCCTACATATACACTTGCCTCAGATGGAATTTAAAATAGATAATTAGAAATTTTCATTAAATATTCTCTGATTAAATGCTTCAAAAATGACAGTAAAAAAATCTAATGGAAGCAACAACATTCTCATTAATTTTCTACTCCATTTTTTCTAACCAAGTTGGGATCAATAATACTATGATCACACAATAACACATTTTCATGGTAATTATTAGGAACAGCTTCCTCAAATAAACCCCCAAAACCCAAAACCCTTCTTCGAAATGAATACGTTAATGATTAAAATATATAGTTTAATTGAGAAAATTTTTGTTCTGGTTTAATTTTTTTAAATATAAGAATGATGAATAAATATGGCAGTTGAATGAAGTTACCTCTGGACATGAACAAAATGATATGGAAAATGATATGGTGTTATTTAGAATTTAATTTGATGTCATGTAAGGAAGATTAATGTTTGGATGTCTGAACATTGTTGATAGTTAAATACAAAACCTAGTTAATTTAAAATAGACATCAGCCCTCAAGGTTACACTGACATTTGAAAGTAGGCTCCATGTAGACATTGCATTTTTCAACTTTTTGAAGGCATTCAATCTGCGAGATTTAGATATATTTATTACAGTTTTATGCAAGTTTATTGTGCCCGGGTACACAGACTGTCAGAAAGTATGAAGTAAATTTAAGAGTGATACAAGCCATCATTATTCATTACTGATTATAAAATTATTTTTTTAATCTCCACTTTACAGTGGAGCAGTTCAGAGTAGGTTGAATATCCAGTGTAGTCTATCCAGTATTGGATATCAAGGTAGTGTAGTGTATCTAGAGTGGGATATCAAGTGTAGAGTAACAATGTAGTGTATCTAGGGTGGGATATCTAGGATAGGGTATCCTGGTTAGGAAATAAAGTATATTATATCTAGGGTGAGGTATCCAGTGTAGTGTATCCGGTTTGGGATATCTAGGTTAGGTATCCTGGGTTGTGTATCCCGGGTAGGAAATATAGTGTAGTGTATCTAGGATGGGACATCAAATGTGTGGTATCCAGTGTAGTGTATCTGGTGTGAAATATCTAGGATAGGTATCCTGGGTAGGGTATATAGTGTATTGTATCTTAGGTGGGATATCTTAAGGTGGTGTATACAAGAGGGATATTCAGAGTAGGGGATAAAAATGAAGTATTCAGGGTAGGGTATCAGTGGGATATCCCAGGTAGGGTATTTGAGTGGGATGGCCAGTGTGGAAGATCCCGTGTGGTATATCCCTGGTAGAATACCCATGGTGGAATATTCAGGATAAGATACAGATTTATCTTTTATCTTTATTCATCATATATCAAAATATATGAAATTATTTCCTGGGAAATGTACACATACAACAAAAATACTCCAAAATAAAATTTATGCAACATATATCAGTTTCACACAGATCTAATGAGTTTCTGTATATGTCTATCTTTATCCTTATATTAATAATTCTGCCTGATCTACTGTAATTTGTACTGCTGTTTAGAGAATATATTTTACTATTAATTATTCCTCTGAGTTTATATATAATGGCAGCCTTACATAGCTGCAAGATATCCTTTTACATCAATGCCATTTGGCTTACTAGCAACTTATGTAATCCTTGTGAAATTTTTTCTTGGGAACCAAGTTTATTTTGATATCCATAATGTATAAAGGTATCCAGGTTGGTATATGCATGTAGGATATTCAGCATTGATATCCAGGACAGAGTATCCACACAGGGAAATAAGCCTACTTATACACTTGCCTCAGATGGAATTTAAAATAGATAATTAGAAATTTTCATTAAATATTCTCTGATTAATAATGTTTGCTAGTGCAAAATAATCGTTAAAATAATATTTGATGCTGCATATATTTCAATATTATTCAATTTCAATTTTATTCAAAAAATACCTCCGAACAGGAGAAGCATACAAATAAAAACACGTTCAAACATCGGAAACAGAACATTGACTTTAATTATAAAAAGGCAAATAATTAAAACACAGCACAAGGTAAACTAAACTAGCATAAGGAATTCCATTTCAATTCAACAGTAATTTACCATAATTCAATAGATTAGTAAATTTTTTTGAGTAGATTAAATTATTATGCAGTCTCTGATGAGTTACAAAATTTGAAAAATATAATTTTCAATATTTGAATTGGTTACATCTTGTGTTGGAGTGGTTGGCGCAGCGGTTGTGTTTGGGTCTTTCGAGTTCTGGATTTGAACCTTTGCCGTGCATTTCACTTGTGTTCTTGAACAAGGCAAACTTTACCTACATTTGTCTATCACCACCCAGGATTATAAATGGGTGCCTGGTGGTTCACTACTGGGGAGGAAAAAGGTGGAATGGAAAGGAACTGGCCACCCTACCACACAATGCTGAGGCTTAGTGCAGTTGGCTATCAGCTCGTTGGCTATCAGCTCATTCCCCTACGTTCAAGTAATGAATACAGGACTACATTTTTTATTATTTATTTTATTTACATCACATTTTTAGATAAATCATTAATTTTGATTTAAAATTAGAATGACGAAAGCAATTTTCTTGACTCAGAACTGACACAGACACATAAATAGTACCATTCCAATATTCTGTTTAATAGACCCTTTTAATTAGTGGTTAATCAATTTAATGATTTTTGTAGTGAAGCATCTGTAAATATGTGAAAGCAAAATCATTGAAGATGTTTTCTTTGATGATATTTCTAATGCAATTTGTTCCTACTGTAACATTTAATTTTTTTTTTTGAGTGCAAATTTACAAGCTTGTCTAACCTGAATACAGATTCCATATAGGCATTTGTTCTAATCTCAGGGGCAATAATAAAGAAAAAAAGGTCTTTGTAGTAGTAGTCGTAGTAAAACCAACAAAATAGAGCAACAAAATACATATGTAATGGTATCCAAAAGTAAAAAGTGTACATTTTACATTATACTAATAATTGAATATTGTACTGTCTTTAAATATATGACTGTCATTTTTAAGTTATTGTATTATATTATTGTTGGTATTACTTTTATTGTTTATTGTTGTTAATGTTGTAATTTTTTTTGCATTCCTGAGCATTTTTTTTTCTATTTTTCTACTGAAAATAAAGGTGGCCCTAGATTTAAACAATTTGGGCAATACTTTTTTTGGCCTTATAGTTTCAATTGTTAAATTTTTATGTGTATTATATAGTCTTATTATTTACATCTTTATTACTGTATTATATTATATTATTATTATCATTATTTTATTTTTATTTTTTTACTTATTTATTTATTCTATCTTTTTTTTTTCATTTTAAATATCATCAGTTAATTTATATATTATTACCACTGTAATATTTGTACACTTGTATGATTACTCTTCAATTTTGATTTAAATTTTTCATTTATAAGGCACTGCAATTCAAAGCTAATGCTTCCAGTGTTGACCTTTTTCCAAATCATAAATTATTTCATTGTATTATATGTATATATGTTATGGAAAATAAAGTTTATGGAATTGAAAGTTCTAAAAATATATTTACATTTTCTATCCTTTACTCACAGACAACAGCCCTTGGTAAGCGAGTAATACGTTCAAAGGGGTTGGCGATAGGCCCTAGTGTCCATGGACACTATATTACAGGGCCCCTACAAGGTAAGTGATGTTCACTCAACTTTTACAGAATTAATATATTGTAGTAACTAATGCATGAAGCTTTTCTTCAACCTAATTATTTTAAGTTGTATATTCATTAATATTATAGGAGTGATATTTTGCCCAACCTGATGTTAAAACTTCACTCCTATTATATTTTCCTGATGCAAACCACATCAAAATATTCACTAATATTGTTACTAATTTATCATAGTCTTTTCTTTGTGGGGATCATTAACATTATTTATTGTTGCCGTTGCTGTCAGTGATGTCCAAAATAACTTTCTTGCATAACAGAATTAATGTAATGTAGAACTGATATGAAACCTTTCCTTTAACTTTCAATTTCGAATTTTAAACTATTATTATTCTTATTATAATTGTTTTTTTTATCATCAAAGTCGTTATTAGTCATCATCTTTGTTGTTATTATTACTACCATAATTATATGTGATTATAGTTATTATATAATGAATATTGTTATTAATATCCATGGGCATTTGACCTTTCTCTGAACTAGATTTAGCATAAACATTAGCATACACCACTCTCAACTCATTATATTCTATGCTGTTCTATTAATAGACAATTTATATAATACCATTATGCTTAATGACTTCGAACAGTGATCCTTTTCATGTTCAAGTAAAATAATAGAATCCTTCATTTGTATTGAAGTGATGTGATATTATGATATATAATAGAAATTCTTACGGATCTGGCTGCGGATAAGAAGATATGAATGATATGATCCATAAGGAGAGAGAGGAGTGAAACATTGTGCATGTGTTGATAAGGGAGAATAAATGGTATTCGTCATGCATGCCTGCTAATCCAAAAGATTTCACTACAATGGCAAATTCAATTAATTTTAAGAGTGCAAAGAGAAAATAAGAGAGAACGAGATTAAAGCATCAGTGCATGACTTAAGGACTGGTTAGAAAAATTCTTTAAATAAACTTTACGAGGAATCTACTTAACATAATATGAATGCCTTTGATAATTTCTACTGTAATTCAATCCATTCTGTGATTATATATAAATATTATTTTGATGATGATTATTATTATTTTGATGCTTATTGTTATTTTGATGCTTATTATTATGTTGATGCTTAGTATTATTATTTTCATTTTTATTAGATAAATTATTTTTTGGTAAGGTGTTAAACACATTTGTTTATGGCTAATGCTGTTTAGGCATCACAGTAAAGGATAGCTGAGGTTTTTTTTATATAATAAAAATGATATAAGGATGTATTAAAAAAATAGTAGCATTAATTTGTGGGAGGGGTACATGAAAAGTGAAGCCCATCAATTGATAGTCTCATTAATATAACAATAATTATAATAAATAATTATCAAAAATATAGAAAAATTATAGTATGCTTTAATAATAGTAGTACCAGTAAAACTGGTGCCGAGTCTGCAGCAGGTACGGTTGAAAGAGTCTTCCGGAAATCAGCACTTTAAAATAACTTTTGGAAAATAACCCATCTCCCTCAAAAAGTTTTGTGATTTATTTAGACATAACCAAACCTCCTTTATGTTCACATTTTTTTTTATATTCCAAATAATGATTTTTTTCTTGCCTATTTTTTATGTTCAGGTACGGAAATGAATAGTCCGTTCAGCGGTAGTAATCCTTCACTTGTCCAGACAAGCTTGCCGACCATTCCTCTTGTGCCTAATACTGTTCTCCACCCGATGATGGGTTCACTCCCGTTTAAGGATCCAAATACATGTGCAATAACTGGTAGTGGTGGCATGGCTCAGCGAATTATTGGGTGTGTAAAGAATTACAACTATATTTTAAATGTTTATTTTTTATAATGCTAGTAACTTTTTAAAAATGCAGTAGAAGAACCTCAACATCTGAAACTGACAACTTTCAAAACTGAAACTGACACCTTCAATTTTTAATTTTATTGTGTGCTTCAAATGCTATCAAGGACCAATATGCACTTGAAATTACTTTCACATATTATCAGATAACGTAACTAATTTAACAAGAAATACAAAAAAATATATATATATACTGTATACTGTACAGTACAAACATACAAATGAATTTCCAACAATTCATGGACTGAGCAGGTAAGTGGTAGAGGAGGAAGGTGAGTAAATGTATTAAAATTTCAGTTGTTCAGAATGTTTTTGAGAACAGGGGAAATCAAAGATGATCAAGAGAGTGGGAATAAGCAAGACTCAAGGAGTTTGGAAGAAAGGAAGAAGCAAAACGGGATGTCCGACAGGGACGGAAAGATAGACAGTTTCCCATCTATAACTGAGAATCTTCCCTCATCTGAATTTTACCCCCTTCCCATTTGAAACTAATCGAGAAACATCTTTTTGACCACGTAATTTCCAATTAAAAAGATGAAATCAATTTTATCTGTATCTGTATTGATAATATACTAAGTCTGTTTCACACAGGCCTGTTCACAGACCTCTTGTTCGAACACGATCTGAGCCTCTTCCAACAAATCCAAGTCATCAGATTCAACAGTTACACCAACAGCAACGTCTTTTACTTCAACAGCAGCAACATCAGTTCCACCAGCAGCAACAGCAGCTTCTTCAAAGGCACCAAGCCAAGAAAGAGGTATGCTATTTCACTATCATAGAATCTTAATAACATTCAAATATGATCAAGTATTTTTAATAGATCTCTATGGTTGGTCATTTAGGAGAGATCGCTTGCCAAAGGTTTGTTTGTCCCTTGAAAATTTGGAGAATCAAATGTACATTCTTTAAGACGTTGACTGCCAGACCTTTTTTAAGGTTCCTTCCCGTGTGCCAAAACATATACTCGTCCCCGGCACCCTCAGCAACACCCTGTGGGTGAGTATACTCATCGCTGGCAGCCAACGTGTTAACCAGCAATTTTTTAACCAGCTCACCTAAAACATTATACTGTATGTGTACAGTATAATGGAAAAATCCAACATTTATAATTGCTTGCATATATTTAACCAAATCAATATTTAACCCAGTTGATCAAGTTTTTTTTTTTTTTTTTTTTAATAAAATCACATGATTATTATACCTGGTTATGATCTGGTCAGTTAAAATAATTGCTTGGCTTAATTTTTGACCTAATGGAATGGTGGTTATGCAGGCTTGTTAACACAAGATTTTCATTGTGCACACTGATCAAATACCTGCACAAAATAAGTAATAAGGCAGTGTGAACAGGGCTTAACACTATAATTAAATATTACATGTTAATATTTGATAATTTCATTATTTCCAGGCCTCCAACTATACGCTCTTACATAGCAACAGGGTAATTGAAAGGTATGTGGAGGAGGACGAGGAAGAGGAGACGGCACAGCAGATGCAAGACATTGTCAAAGTCAAACAGGAGCCAGTGGACAGTGAGGAAGAAAGGATAAGGTTGCAACAGGTGAGTTATTCACATACCTGGTTTAGTGTTACTGGGTGATGTAAATAGTTTGATTAATTAATTATTCAAGATCCTACTATGACTGTACCCCTGTTTTCGCAATCGCACATCTGCTGCTGTTAAGCCTGGGCTATTGCGTGTCTAATTCCATGCCTACAAGTATTAGTAACATCTTTAATGTATACATGAAAATTGAAGTTGTACAGCAGCTTAGTAGGCCTGAGATATGTTTGTTTAATTGTCAAAATCTCGGTCAGAATAATTTTTTTTACAAATTTGAAATAATTCCAATGAAATATTGTATTTCACATGCAACATAAAATATCATGTAAGCTGTTTTTCATGTATGATAACAGAACCTAAATCAATGAAATGCTAGGCCTAACCTAGCAGTGTTGCTAGGCTAATGTTTCCGGTGCCTACTATATTTCTTCGCAGACCTATCGCAAAATCCGACATAACAAATTCATCCATGTTTATTTATTTTTTTCGAAACGAAAAAAAAAAATCTAATTTCAGTCCTATTTTACATTTTTTTTTATGTTTAGGAATGTTTAAATTCAGTTAAACTAGCAATTCCGTATTATATTTATAAATCTTTATAACATTTATAAAAATCGATTTTTCTAAGAACTGAAATTTTACCAGGAATGGGGCTTTAAGCTATTGAAATTTTTTTAATTCAAATCCCACACAAGTCTTTAATATTTACAAAGAATGCTTGTAAAACATCTGTTTAATTACAATTTAAATCTTTACAGGAGCAAGAAGAGTTAATGAAGCAACAATCATTAGGCCCATTAACACCATCAGCAACGACAGGTAGGTTTAATGTATCTTTAGGTGTGTTAAAGGTTGCCCCTTCCTCCCCGCTCTTCCACAGGACTCCATTGCTATAGTAATATATACATAGGCAGGACATTCTTTATCTTCGAAGTATACTAGAATACTCTTCATTTGCAACTGGACCCTAATTGTTATGTAAAATCAGAGTATAGGATTAGAAGAGTTAATGAAGTACTTACTTTTGCTAGAATTGTAAAAACCCAATATCCCATTCATTTTAAAAATTGTATCTGGGCATTTGAATTACGTAGGTGAGGATTTGAATTCTGTCCACAAACCACTTAGCCGGGCAAGAAGCTTGCCGTCTGGTACAGCAACAAGTACATTCCCAAGAACTAAAGATGACCAACAATCAAGACATGAATTCACAACAGGTAAGCTCTCATGAAAAATGTTTTTCTTTCTAAAGGAGTCAAATATTGCTGTCTGTATCTATATACTTGGCATTACAACCAATTTCAAGATATTCGTCTCTTGTCTTATTTTTTTGTGTAGGCTTAGCATTCGATCAACTTATGCTGAAGCACCAGTGCTCTTGCGGAAACAATGCCATCCACCCGGAACATCCTGGACGTTTACAGAGCATATGGGCACGTCTACATGAAAGGGGCATCGTGTCTGAATGCAAAGTAAGTCAACAAATTCTTGTCAGTATTTTACACTTAATTTTGCCAACACTTGCTTTGGAATACATATACAATATCTTACACAGTATAATAATATATTAATTTGTTATTTCTTAACATTCTGTATTTCTATCGCTCTGAAGAATGAAGCTGATGGTAAATATGCCTCTACAGCCTAAATTATTGGATAATAATATTTTGAAAGTAATAATATTTATGAAACAATCATTGGCGCATGTCAGTGGTTATATACTTGTTACATATATAGGTAAACATGGTAACACACAAAATGTGTCCCCCAGGTTCTCGGAAATTTCCATTCCAAATTTGACGAAAATGGTGTAGTGTTAATGTACATACTGTCCACATACCAAATATTGTATTAATTGTACACATAGACCTTTATTGTACATAACTTAAGTTATCAAATATTGAACATACTGTACAAATAGCTGTACAAATATAAGGTACAATATACAGTTTGTACTGTACACATACTGTGCAATTATCAAATACTGTATGTACTGTGTGCACATTGCACTGTATATAATGTTTCTTAAAAACACCACAACCGTTTTTAAGCTCAATACCATGTAGGCAAGGCCTAGCTGATTTATAAAAATCTATTGAAACATACATGTTTCGGCAGTACATCTACCATCTTCAGTGTAGTTATTACCGTCATGAAATTCTCTGTATAAATTAAGTAAACAACTACGATACACTGTATTATAAATAAAGAGAAATTGAACCATAATTATTTGAAAACAAGATTACATGCATTTTAAAAGAATCGATTAAACTGTTAAGTAGAACTGTTGTGGTGTAAGATGCATTTGCTTTCTGCTGTTAAACAAATATTTGAGGAAAATTGCAGAAATTTGTATTCCATTCGCAGCAACTTCAAGGCAGAAAGGCAACACTGGAAGAAATTCAGTCATGTCATAGTGAAGGCTACACGCTTTTTTATGCTACTAACAATTTGAATCGTTCAAGATTAGACAGTTCAAAACTCGGTAAGTTCATCTAAGTCACTCATTCACTGGGCTTTCCACACTACTATAAAATTTGTGCACGAAGGAGCAATTTGTTCAAAAGAAAATTCCCATCAAGGATCTGCAGGACCTCAGGCAATTTTTAATGTACTAATTTCTCTTAAAGTATTCTAATTTTTATAGTAGCGTATCTAAAATGACTATTATAATTGCTTTAGAACTCCATCAGTTTCCATTTTTTTCATAGGTCTGTGTAATAACATTATTTAGTTTCATCACATATCTAGGCTTGGCCATAGAAAATCTAATAAGTTTAAATATATGCATGACATTTTAGAGTATTCATCAGTTCTTTTGGCTCATGCAAACAGATAAAGTCGTGCTATTACATCTTAGCCCCTCAGGCCACCAATGTGTTGTCTGGTAAAGTCATATCCAGGCTCATTCATTGAAACTGTACAGGTCCTCGAATAATCCCATATAAATTGTTAGTTTCTTTCATAATGGGATTCTAGGAATTTCTTAATCTAGACACTCTTGACTGCAATAATGCAAGTTTATCTAAAAATAGACATTAGAATAACATAGTAGAAAAATGCATCAAACATTCCTCATTGTGCAGCACGGGATAAAAATATGTATATAAAATTCTTTAATCGAAAACTTTATTGTTTTGATTTGTATCTGTTGGGTAATAACTTATTATTACAGCCCTCAGGAATTTTTTTCCTGCATTAATCTAACCTTCATATAATAATTTAATGATATGCAACTCTACTAATTGCTTGTTATCCTTTTAAATGAGCAATTGAAATGGTTGTATAAATGCTTATAAATAAATGTATTTTTAATGCACTATAAATACCTCTCATCATTCTTTAAAAATCTGTAAACAATTTCTGCCTTTCAATTGAGCATGTTTGTTTGTTTGTTTTCATTTTATAGCAATCATTCCTCAACTGAACTTTACCTTATTACCATGCGGAGGACTTGGAGTAGACTCTGACACTGTATGGAATGATTACAATTCATCGGGTGCTGCAAGAATGGTAACAACCTACAGACTATTATAGCTTAATAAAATAAATAAATTATCCTCCCATTTTAGCCTCACTCTAGAAGTAATCCCACTGTATTTCTCTTGACTCAACATGGTATAAATTGATATTCCGCAAACTATGGTCCGCTGCCCAAATTTGGGCCGCGAAACATTTTTGGAGGGCTGCGAAGCCGTCTGGAAATTGAAAAAAAATAACAAAGATACGTTTTATCATGGAGAAAGTACTTTTTAATAAAGCCGCTTTATCGTTACAGCGATTGAGTCGCTTTCACACACTGCTAAAGTGCCAGATGATGCGTGCTATTTGAGTTATAAATGGTTTTTGTGTCTATGCCCCCTCTGGAGCTAGACACTATGCTATCGTCTAGTATTAACCCTGTAAGATCGAGTAAATCCGGTATGGAGGAATGATGGGATGAGTCATGAGCTATACAGTAGGTCCTTGATTAGACATTAGTGTGAGAGACCGTGAGGGGAGGGTTGTCTAAGTAGGGGGAGCATAGCACCCGTCGGAAAGAAGTCAATAATTTTGTCGAGGAGGAACACTGCTTTGAAAATGCATTTTTACCATCTGAGAGTCCCATTTCTGAGCGTCTAGAGGGGCCTATTCTTAAAATATGCTCACCTCAGGCCCAACCATGGTGGGGCCGAGGTGGGTGTTGATTACCTAGTGGGCCCCTGTCAGAAAATTTCTGAATCCACTCTTGCGTTTTCTTCGTGTTTTGTTACAGATAATGGGCATGATTTTCATTATGGCGGCGCCCTTTATGCCTTGGTTGATGAGATAAAACTAGGAAAAACGTATTAAAACCAAAAAATTGTAATGTTGTCATGATCTTATAATTCCTTTAAACCAAAGAATTATAAGATTATGACAATCTTATAGTTCTTTAATTACAGTATTAAAGAATCCGGAGTCAAACATTTTCTGTTATAGCTTTTATAATACTAATCTCACTGAATATTTGTTATACATGGTGTGTACCAAAAGTTATTTTATTTATTATTACTCCCCATGCAAACCCTTCAAATAATATTCTTAATGTTTATTAGGAAGTATTAAATGTTTAATTGCAGCTTGTATATTTTTAGATTCAATATTTGTATGCTGTATATTTTTATGTATGTACTGTAATAACCAACACAACTCATAATGATTTCAATCTAAGAATCTCCAGACTATTATTTTTTTTTGTCTTATTGTATGTTTTTATTTTTTTTAACCTTAAATCTCAATCATATCATTGTTATCCTTACAGGCAGTAGGATGTGTAACAGAGCTGGCATTTAAAGTGTCTACCGGTTCCCTGAAGAATGGTTTTGCCCTGGTGCGGCCGCCAGGTCACCATGCGGAGGTATCACAGGCCATGGGGTTCTGCTTCTTCAACAACATTGCCATCGCTGCCAAGCAGCTGCGAAAGAAACTGAAACTAAACAAGATATTGATCGTAGATTGGGTAATTTACTTATTATAATCCAATTACTATAATCTAAAAATGTATAAAGAAAATTCATTGTTGGGTACGATGCCAAAGACGATACAAAAAGAAACAAACAGAATGTCCTTAATCTGTTAAGAATTCCACTTTAAAGCTGTCCAGATCATCAAATTTTCTTTTACAGAAATGATGTATACCCATTTATAGTGATGATGTGCCTGAATTTGGTCATGATGTGATGTCATCATGGCCATATATTAGACATGTCAAATTTTGTTGTCAAATAAAATTTGATAGACAGGACAGTAGTGGCATATTTAGAATTTAAAAATGGGGGGAGATGGATAATTTGAGGAGCGAAGCACTATGCAGGGTGGTGGTTTTGGAAGGGGTTTCCCCTCCCATTTGAGATTTTTTGGAATTAGTAACATGAGAAGCACACACACAAGACGGGTGACCATTTTTTTTTTCACGGTAACCGAAGGGGGGTTGCTAGCCACCTTATTTACCACCCCTTCCCTTAGATCAACCACTGAACAAGGCTTTAGATATACTGTCTCCGATATGTATGGAAACAAAACCTGAGACATACAATCTTAACTTTTAATTGCTCATTTAATATTAGATCAAATTGGTTTTCTCTGATTTACAATTACTTCGAAAGTCATTGCAAGCAATTTGATTGCCTGTCAATTTTATTATTGTTTATTAATGTTGTTGTTGCGGTTGTTGTTTGCTGTTATAATTACTATTATTACTATTATGTTATCATATATCAGTACTGTATTAATATAAATTTATGCAAATGAACTATTAATACAAAAAGTTATTAATAGTATTGTTTTCCCCCTTAGGATGTACATCATGGAAACTCAACTCAAAAGCTATTTTACGATGATCAACATGTTTTGTACATCTCATTACATCGTCATGATGAAGGAAATTTTTTCCCCGGAACAGGTGCTGCAGATGAGGTAAGCTGTGGTTATGTTATCATAACCTCTCAACACTACTCTATTCTGGAACATTTCATTCATCATTATTTAACTCACCCTTATTCGGATATGAGTTTGCGTCAGGAAGTTATCATGGGAGAGGTGTTTTGCCCTACCAGACGTGTAATCGTACTGAATACTCAGTACGTCCCCAAATACTAGTGAAGAAATTCGCAAGTGATTCGGGTGGGAATCGAACCCACGACCTCCAGGTATCTAGCCTGATGTCTTAACCACTAGACCATCGAGCTTGCGCTTGGTGAAATACCCTTACCCTTCCTATCCAGGTCCTATGCCCTGTCAGTTAACCTTCGCATCAGTGTCTTGTATGTGGTTGCTGGTAATATTCCTCTAGGAGACTTTTAATACTTAGACACTGACTGACTGACTGACTTATTACTACTTAGTGCTGCAACAAACTTGTTGATTGGTGCTGCTTCTCTTTATATCTGCCAAATCATATTATTTTTATTTTATTTTCCTGCAGTGTGGTTGCGGTGATGGTCTTGGTTTCAATGTTAATATTGCATGGCACGGTGGACTGGATCCTCCTCTAGGAGACGTAGAATATTTGGCTGCTTTTAGGTTGGTTTATTTTCATTATGCATTGTTGTTGCTAAGATAGGAAGATCTTTTCAGATTTTCAGTAATAAATTACTTTATAAATGGCAAACATTTCTCTGTGAACTTGCAGGTCAGTTGTGATGCCAGTGGCTAGAGAATTTTCACCAGATGTCATTTTAGTGTCTGCTGGATTTGATGCTGCACCTGGTCATCCAAACCCTCTAGGTGGATATAATGTATCACCAGTAGGTGAGTGAGGGTGCCAAACACAATTGCAATAGGATTTTAATCAGTAATATTTTGTATGATATGACTTGATCTTGTGTATTTGGATTCCGGTTTGATGAAGTATTTTAAATGTTCAAAGTTGGTTGAACTTTTTTTTCTAAGTGCTTATGTGATTTTTTTAAGTAAGGAAGATGTGTAAAGACTGCAGAAAAATAACCATTTTTCATGACAAAGTTGTCATAGGATATATTTTTAGCTGCTCAAGAATATAAGATAAACTCTCAGGTGTGTGATCTGAAAATAATGTGCAATTAAAACTTTGAATTATAGTTTAAAGGGATTAATTAGGTTACCAGCTTCTAGTATTGTTTTTTTTTGTCAGATTCACAAAAAATAAAAAATAAAAAATGTAAATATATATATATATATATATATATACATATATATACATATATATATATACATATACGTATACTCCTAACTAACTCATAGGGTGAAAAATCCTTTGTCTATATTTCTCCTTAACGTCATTAAAATTTCCCCTTTCGCCTTAAGGTATTATTTCTAACCATTTCCATTGTCATCATTTCCCGCTATGGTAGTATATAGTCGTATATATATATATATATATGTATGTATGTATATGTATGTATATATAATACGCTATTACTATTTTTACGTTTATTTACTATATAATACATTACTATTTCTATTTCTTTTTACCCAGGTTTTGCGTACATGACCCGCCAGCTAATGACTCTAGCAGGAGGGCGTGTGGTGCTTGTTTTAGAGGGAGGATACAACCTTACTTCAATCTGTGATGCAGCTGAAGCTTGTGCCAATGTGCTTTTAGGCCACGATGAACCAGATTTAAAGGTTCCGAAAGAGGTCCTGGAGAAGAGGCCATGCAAGAATGCTGTTCTTTGTCTCCAGAAAACAGTTCAAATCCAATGTAAGTCACAAAGACCTGTTTATATCTCAAGCGATCCATATTAATGCTGCTCATTATCTTGTTAGATTTATTTAATGCTTTATATATGTATATAAGCCTTAAAGTGCTCGCTAGATCACAGTAACTTCCTTCTCATCTAAGGGTCTATTTGTGTGTGAGCTGCCCAGTAAGCCAGTATCAGCTCCTGTCCACAGCTGGGGCTGTGTACTGGGTTCCTTAAAGTGTACATGAGTCAATTGTGTACACTGGGCCTAAGGTTTATAGTCCTTATTCGAGAAGACTTCTTCCACCACCAGTACTATAGACGAGCGTGCCGTTCGAACCAGTACTGATATTATGGCCATATGTTGCGGCGCCCCTGCCTTAACCACTCAAGTATTTGCTCAGCCTTGGGTGTCCTTAATGCTCTATAACCAAACCTTATTACATTAGGGAGCAGATGCACAGTGCACTATAACCATGACTCTATGGCTTGGGGAGTGAGATTTTTTTTGTTGCTTTGCAGGTTCCCCAATCATTTTAACTATAATTACTTCTTATATTAAATATTAATATAACATATATAGCCTTTATACTGACTGTTGAGTATATCTATTGGTATATTGAAAATACTAATTTTTTAAATATTATTAATTATTGTTATTGTAAGTTTTATTTAAAATGTTTTATTTAAAATATTTAATTAGTACTAATTATTAGTAATAATTTATAATATTGTTATTAATATTATTTTTATCTGGTCAATTTCTGTTTTTAAGACAATGACATTTTCAAGAACCTTGATCAACATTTTCATTCTTTTTATTTTATTTTTTTTCCGATCTTATTAGCCGAGTTTTGGACAAGTGTGCGAAGGAAAGCAAACATTATTGCATGCTCAGCTATAGAGGCTGCAGAGAAAGAGAGGGAAGAAATGGAAACAGTGAATGCCATGGCATCGCTCTCCATGCAAGTCAAACTGGAACAACCTGAGTAAGTAATGATAATAATACAGTATTTATTTGAATAAACACCCCGCTTTGAATAAAATCCCCTTCGAATAAACGCTCCCCTCTAGAGCCTCATTTGGAATAAACGCCTCCCTCTGTGTTTATCTTTCCTTGAATAAACATCCCCCCAAATGACTATAAACAAATGTAATGGAAGCAACATTATTCTCAACACATTCTATTATTGTTCTACTCCAGTAGAATTACATTTTTTGTTACCTGGTTGGGATCAGTAAGTCTTCGCATCACATATTTTGACAATAATTAAATGTTATAGTTCCACTATTTACAGCGGAATTAAGGAGCATTTATTTTAGTATAGCACGTATCCATTTTACGCCTCCCTCAAATAGACCCCTCAGAAATCTTCCTCAACAGTAAATGCCCTGGCGAGTTTATTCGAGTGAATACGGATTCAAATAATGAAACTATATGCTGATTATTGTAATATTGTATTAATCATAGCTTCAAATATATCAAATAGGCTGAACATGATTTTAACAGTATGTTTAGCAAAATAATTTATGGTTGAAAGTTTACTATTATGGGTCAGTTATTATAACAATATTAGGGAGGTTTCTCATGCGAACGCATACGGTTAGTGTGATGGATACGTCATCATTTTGACGTCATACGCTGGCTGCTATCCGCTAAAGGTGTGGACGACACGCATATCTCGCTCAGTACATGCAAATGAAAAACGCGTAGGGAAATTTTGGAAAATAAATGTATCTTTGAATACGTACGTGCCATTTTGTGACATTTGAAGACAGCAAATTAGGATAGGATGCATCTCAATTTGGGGTATCAAAACGTCGGTGCTTTGACTTTAGTGGTGTCGGGATTTTGTGTAGGCCTAGGCCTACTTGTAGCCAGGCACTCCTGGGTCATAAACACTAGGGCCTATCACAAAAAAATCACAACACTTCTGGGCAACAAAGGAAGTATTTTTTGGCTACAATTTTCAATTTCAATTTCAAAAACCTTACATAATAATACCTAATAAAACAAAACAAACAATATATACAACAAACAAAATATAGTACTAGTAACAGTAGGCCTAAGCTAAGGCCCTAGGCCTAGGCTATGCTTGAATTGCACTGTGATTGCAAAAAACAGAGAATTGCTACAAACCGTTACGGATAGCTAAATGTATGGATACACGTATTTGTTCATGTGCGAAACCTCTCTATTATTGTTGTTAATAATATTGTTTACAATAATATTGATAATCATCAACAGTATTAATATAATCACAGAAATTGGTAACATCAGCTTCAACCATTCAGCACCCTGCTGTCTTCGTCATCAATAGTATGATTATCATAGACATTAGTAAATCATCCACCAATCAGTATCTGTCATCATCAATGTCATTATCATATCATTAACTATTATATATTATATCAATAATTTTGATAGTAATATTTCTTGATTGCTGTTTCAGGGATGAACCAATGGATGAAGGAACGATTATTGAAGACGCTCATGAAGGAGATGATGATTCGTAGTGAAAATATTGACTTTTGACACTTCAAGAAATTGTGAAGAGTGACGTTGTAAATGTGAATGCAAGATTGCAGTGTTTTAAGGAGAACTGACGTTTGTAAAGGGATGTATGCTGCTATATTTAATATGCTCTTTTACATGAAAATTATTATATATACTTATTCCTTGATTTTTGTAACTTGTTGGAATTGACAAGTACTTTAAGGAAAACTGATGAATATTTGAGGGATAATGAAATGGTTACCAGAGGGCTATTGTAAATATAATGCTGGGGTTTTGTTTAATGTTCAAATTATTGTAAGTATTCCTGAATAGATTGTGAAAAAAAAAGTGTTCGTCTGTCAAAAAAAAAATTTCAAATGTTGTATAATGTTGCCAAATAAGTGCCCACTTTTGGGACTTTAGATTAAATTTGAATCTATTAACAACATGTAAATATGTTGGTTTGTCAATATATGAATGCTCTACTCTTTGGTTTCATGGTAAGATGTTGAGCAAATTGTCATAGTGGTTTCATAGATGAAAGTTCACTTTATGATGAGCAGAATGGGGCATTACTTTACACCGAAAATGACACACCAAAATGACCCTGTTAAGGTTATTATCAAGTGTACTTTATTACTTGTGTTTGTATTGCAGTGGTATATTGTGTTGTGCTTGTATTTATCATGAGGGTTTTGGTTTATAAAACAACAGAATGCATCTGGATATTAAGAAAATATTATTGTTGTACAAGTCCAACGTTTTAAAGAGAATCTCTGTTATGATTGCAAGACTTGATTTCATTATTCGTGCTTTCATGGATGTAATGAATCTGATGGTAAATTCATCAGTTATTGGAATTTTCAGTCTTATGTGTGTTTGAGGCTTCATTCCAAATGTTACCCCTCATGATAAAAATTGAAATATAAAATGTTAATTACAAATGGACAAAGTAATTAATTTTTTTTTTTAAATACGTTTTTGATGTAAAAACTGGGTAAGATGGTCTTGAAAATCAGAAAATGATATGTAATGAAATATGCATTACTCTTCCTTTCTAATCGTTATGATCTTAAAAAATTATGGCTTTATCACAATCCTTAAAAAATTGATTGCAGAAAATGAATATATTTTATTTAAATATAACAATGAGAATTATGGTTGAAAATCTGTTAGTATGAATATTCAATTTCAAATCATGTTTATTTTCATAATTGCATATCAAGTACTGTGAATTGCCACCAAATTTTTGATTAGAAATGATTATACTTGGCGAGAGCTGTCAATTGTAGTTTCAATTAGACATTTTTTCCATCTGATTCTTTAATAAAAATCTATCCAATTAAAGCATTATTATAGAATGTTATGTTATGTGATATATATTTTTTTCTATAAGGTTTTTTGTTGTTCATGTTCATGTGATTAATTCTGTTGATGAGACTTGTAAGATAAATTACTGTATTTCTCCCTTTCAAAATAATAGAATGGTCCACTCCTGGTGCTTATCCACTTATCGATAATAGTCTTATCATTTTAAATATAATTGTTTTTATAATAATAATTATTATACTCAAATAATTTCATCTGGTTTCAGTGTGTATAGATGATTATGATTCTTCAAATTAAATCAGAAATGCTGCTTGTTATGCTTCGATTTAATAATCAGTTCTTCATTAGGCAATTCAACTTGGCGATATAACTTCATATTATAGTTATGATCATCCCCCACTTTGCTCTTTTTAGGGGCGTTGAGGAGTAATGATCCAGATAATCCAAATCCAGATCATCATTGTACAATGGTTAGGCTCACACTAAAGCCTTAGTATCTAGATCAGGAGCTAACTGTTAGCCCTAACCGTTATCAATCTGGATCCTGCTAACCGTTAGGTGGTGGGTGTGTGTGTGTGCATGAACATAGCCATATCTGCTTCTATCTTCATGTAGGCCATTTTACTCATCCACTTATTCTCACCACTTGTAAAATTCATCTGTTTGTATATGTGAAGAATTATATTTATATATTTTAACAATCTGAGAAATGTTAATAGTCTTTCCATTTATGACATTTCAACTTTAAAAAGTATTTTAGAGAGTAAGTTACTTAATTGTGATCCCTTCCTGAAGTAACGGTCTGCCATCATCTCTTGATACAATAAAGAAAATTAAACCGAAGAAGAAATTGTTACTGTATAATTTTAATGTCACAAATAATATATTCATTTGTGCACATACACTGTTGACTACATGATCAGTTGCAGGTTGTATGATTGTATTATATTCATGTTCAGGGCACCAATAGGAATATCTGCACATGTATATTTACATACTTTTGTGTATTTTATGCATGTCAGGGCACAATTGTGAACACCTGCACTAGTGTGTGTACATGTATGTTATGCTTGTTCAAGGCACAAATTGTAACATCTGCACATGTATATACAATCTTGTTAATGTTCTTATAAAACCTAAGTTCATTCAATAACTAATGATCTGGGAAATCATAAATCACCTCTTTGAAATTATTTTGATTATAAAAAATGATATTAGCTTTTTAACATATTTATAAAGTACCTTTAAGAACAGATGAGTATAAATTATTATTATTTCTTATTTATATCAATAATTGTCAGGCACTTAAAATCTGGAACACCATCTCAATCTGGTTTTAATTTATTATTCTTTACAATCTTCACAATTGAGTGAGGTAAACATTCTCTGTTTTACTATAAGGTATAGGATACAGAATTGAATTACATTGGTAACAACATCTGTGAAAAATACTGACAATTACATATTTCTTAATGATCATTTTCTTACCCAGTTAATTTTAGTATTTTTGATTTATTTAGGACAAGTATTTTGGAATGATTTTATAAAAACTGTATATCATTTAATTTAGTTATAACTTACCGTGAATGGTACAACTTAATTTTGATAATGTTTTTGTTTAGTTTGTAATTCTGTACCAGTCAAAGGTAACCAATTTTTAACATTTAAATGTAGCATTAAAAAATTACATTCTAGTTTTGAAACAACTCTTGAGAGTGTTATATTTTGAAGTAGAGTTAATATACAGATATAAACGAATTAAAAGTTGTACCGGTATTGTTTTGTATTTTAAGGACGTTGAATGATAAATCTTCATCGGTCATTGTTTTGTGTTGTTTGCAAGATGCAAAGCCAATTTCATTGTAAATCATGGTAGTTTTCGTGTGCATATTATACATTAGTACGTCCAAAGACACATGGTATGCTATATATGCATTAACGTTGATGCGCTCAAAATAGTCTATTTTTTAAGCTGGGGTCTAAATTGTTAACTTTTGTTAACGATGAGTAGTTGTTAACTAACACATATTTTATAGAAATTTTTGGGTTTTTTGTTTCATATAGTATTTTATTATGTAGTTTTTATCTAAGAATCCCTGATAAATAAATATATATATATATATACACACACATATATATCAAACATAAAATGTTGGTTCGTATTTGCTTTGAATATCAAATAATAAAGGTACACGGTGCTATCTCATTGAAGTTGTTGATAATGTGAGCCTGCTGCGAAAAAAGAAAATGCTGTGTAGTCGCAGTGCTAATATGTTGATGAGTGTCACAACATCAGTCTGCAAAAGCATAATTTACACTAAGACATGTCTGTGACACAAACAAAAGTAACGCAAGGCATATATGCCATGATTTTCAGGATGAACTGCTTGAAATTAGACACCTTACAACTGCATGCAAACATTGGCTGGCATGTCGTGAGGTACTGAAACTTCAACCCAGCTCAACTTACTTTGAAAGGGAGATGAGACATTGGTGGAACAGCTGTATCAAACTCAGCTCAACTTTGTTCACAGGGAGAGGGGGGGTCTTGAAACAACTTTACCTTACGTTTGTGTATGAAACATGTGTAAACTATAGCTTAAGCAGGCAACGTACTGAGATGTTGTGTATCTGAATCAACATTCACAATTATGGTGTAAATTAGCTTAATCGTGACAACCAGTATGTGACCATCTCAGGATGATGCCTCATCACTGCACGTGTGTTCTGCACATAGTGATACTCCAATACAATACTTTGTATGTTACATGTTCTCTATTCCCCCCCCCCCCACAGGATCCCTTTGTAAAAAAAAAAAATGAAAGCAATGCATTTGTTTTCTTTAGTACTTTTGTATGCTTGTGAATTAGTAACTGCTCAATGCTATTGAAATCTGAAATAAAAGATTTTAAATCATTGTACGAAAAAAGGTCTCCTGTGATTTTAACTTCTGTGAGTTGTACATAGGCCTATGATGTGCATGTGTGTGTGTGGGGGGAAGGGGGATTTTTGCTTCTATCATATGGAAAACGTTGTCGCATCTCAGTTGCCACACCCCTACACACGCCGTTAAGCACAAGAACAGAGCCTAGAATATCGCACACGGTGGGCTAATTTCGGGCGCTGTTGTCTAATACGGTAACTTTTCTGATGGGTTCGCACAGAATTTGAAAGTAAATATTATCTACTTTTCAATGATACTCAGATACACTCACCTTCTCAAGTATTTGGAATACGCACTTTTGAACTGAAAAAATGTAGAATAGAGGAGGTCACCTCACTAAATCAAGCCTCAGACATCAACCAGATGACATGTCAACAGGGTTCGGCCGGAATAAAAATACCCTTTCTTGTAATATAAAACTCGACGTGATTGGTGCAGTGGCGGCGCCAGCGGGGGGGGGGGGTTTAGGAAGGGGAACCCCTCCCACCCCCCACCCCCGGCTCGGGGCTTCGGCCCTCAGATAACGCTGCGCACTATAGTTAAATCCATACATACTTAGCCCCCCACCCCATAAATTATATCCTATAGAGCCGCCACTGGATTGGTGTAGGTCTTAATTACGCACTTATGC